TGTGAAAAGGGAATTGGAAGAGAAAGCTGAATTAGATTACATTGTAATACATCATTTATAAATAAAACAGGGTTTATAATGGTTTTGGGGTTGATATTATATAGATTCAAATATATATATATAGAAGATTGATTATTATAAAAAGAAAAGATAAAAGACTCTTTTTTTATATCTAATTATAAAAGGTTATATGATTGATTAATTAAAACCTTTATATATTTGATTTATAATTCCAATTTTCTTATAATATATTAAAAAAAGGATAAATCAGAGAATTCATTTTGTAGATAATTAGTCTTATATTATTTATATCAAAAAAGAATGATATAAAAAAGTTTTATATAAACTATTGCAAACTTAATAATATAATAATTAAAGATCGATATCTATTTCTATTAATTATAGAATTAAGAAATCGATTAGGAAAAGCCAAGATTTTCTTCAAATTTGATCTACAAAATAGATTTCATTTTATCAAAATAAAAGAAGATAAAGAATAGAAAACAATATTCAAAATCTGATACAGATTATACAAATATCAGATTATATTATTCGGATTAATAAATATACTAACAATATATATATATTTAATCAATAATATATTGAGAAAATACCTAAATATATATTATATATATTATTTAAATAATATTTTAGTATTCTCAAAAATAAAAAAACAGTATATCAAAAATATATATAAGATTTTACAATATCTAAAAAAAAACTAATCTTCAATATAAACCCAACAAATACAAATTCTATATTACAGAAATAGAGTTCTTGAATTATATCATTTTCTCAAAAGATCTCAAAATGAACTCTAATAAAGTAAAAGCAATCAAAGAATAAAAACCATCAATTAGTATAAAGAAAATATAATCCTTTTTAGAATTTATTAACTTTTATCAACGATTTATCAAGAATTACTCAAAGATAGCTACTCCAATAACCGAGATTATTAAAAAAAATCAAAAAGAATTCTAATAGATAGAAATAATACAAAAAACATTCGAATATTTCAAAAAAGTATTTACAAACAAACCAATTCTTAAAGCATTTAATCCGAAACTACCAATAATTGTAGAGATAAACTTTTCGGATTATATAATAAATATAATATTAAATCAATCAGGTTTAAATGAGAAATAGTGATCAATTGTTTATTATTCATACAAATTATTATCAATCGAATTAAATAATAAAATATATGATAAGGAATTATTAACAATAATAAATATTTTCAAAAAATAAAGAATATATTTAAAAGGATCGAAATATATAATATAGATATATATAAATTATAAAAACTTGATTTATTTCATTACAACAAAGGAATTAAATCAATGATAAATTCGATGATCAGAAATTATAATTATCTACAACTTTAAAATTTTATATATCAAAGAAAACGAAAATGTTAAAACTGATATTTTCAACCGAAAATTAGAATATTTACAAAACAAAATATATAAATTGTATATTATATTAAGGCAAGATAATGATAATCTAATTTATAATAAGTTATAATTCGTTATTATTTTGGAAATAAATTATAATATTATCAAAGATATTATAAAAACAGAATATTCTATAAATATTATAATCAAAAGAATTTTAATTATTCTAAACAATCCAAAAAGAAGATTCATTATTGAAAATAAATTCATTCATTTTTATAATAAATTTTATATATTTTTTAATTTAATTAAGGATTATATTATAGAATAATATAAGTTTTCAATTTACAAGTATTAAGATATTGTAAAAACCTTTATCAAAATAAGGAAAAAGGTTTATTTTTTAAAGATAAAAACAATAATTAAGAATATAATTGGGAATTGTGATATCTATATAAGAAATAAAACTACTCAATATACATTTTATAATCAATTCAAAACCTCTGAATTATTAATTTAATTATAGAAATCTATTATTTAAGATTTTATAATAAAACTATTATTATTCAAAAACCTAGTTATCTAGAAAGAATACGATTTCATTTTGATGATAATAAATAAATTAATCAAGTTTGCTTATATAATATTATTCTGTGAAACTTGAATAACAGATAATCTTGCTTATATATTCATATAGAATATAATTAATATTTACAATATATTAAATAAAATTATTTCAAATAAAAACAAACTATTCACATCGAAATTTTGATTTACCTTTATAATATTATTTGAAATCAAAAGAAAACTTTTAATAGCTTTCTATTCATAAACAAATGATTAAATAAAACAATTGAATCAAATAATAAAAGTTTATCTTTATTGTTACATCAATTACAAATAAGATAATTAAATTCAACTATTATTTTTGGTATAATTTGTATATAATATATCGGAAACAGAAACAACAAAAATGATATTAACTTATATTAACTTTGGATTCAATCTTTTAATATATAAATCATTATTATTCCAAAATGTAAATATAAACGAAACTATAAAAGATATTATAGAAATTAAAGAATTACAAAAATAATTTTCTTTAAATTTATAATTTATTGTTTTAAGAATAATATTATACTATAACGAATCATATAGTATAAAATTTATTCTTAAAAAAAAGAATAAAGTTTATCTTATCCAACGAAATATTAAAACCAAATGATCAAACAATAAATTAGATTATAAGAAACTAGGATTATTCAAAATTGATAAGATTATCAAATTAATCAATTATAAACTAAAGTTCCCTTATATTATAAACATTTATTTAATATTCTATATTTCTTTATTCGAGAAAACATTATTTGAAGTATCGAAAATATCAGACCTAAAAATCGATCTGATCAATCTAAAAGAAGAATATTATATCAAAGAAATACTAGATTGTAAATATATTAATAAAATAATCAAATATTTAATCAAATAATAGGATTATTTATATTCAGAAAACATTTAGAAATCTAAAAAGAATTTTAGTATTCTTAATCTGTTGAAGGAATTTTATTAATATTATCCAGATCTTCCTAAAAAGGATCTGAAGGATTCAAAAAAAAAGAAGGATCAAAATCGTTCAATATATTCGAACTAGTTTCAATAAGTATCGACAAATCAATACCCGTTTGCTCCTTCTCTTTCTTTATACATTTATTCTTCAACCTTTCCTTTTCTAATCGTTCCTTTTCTGTTTCAAACTCTTTCAAAGCCTCGATTATATAAAGATTATACTGAAATATCTTTTTAATCTTTTTGTATAAGATCTTTTATTATCTCCGAATCCTCATCCAACAAGCAAAAGCTTTTTGTTCTAATCTCATAACAACCTTTTCCTTTATCTCAAAACAAACTTCTTCATATACTACTCGAACTCAATTACCAACAATATAACTATATATATTATAATCATTATTAATTATACTTCTAATATATTTATTACAACAAATAATATTTGAAAGTATTTTGTATTCTAAATTCTTTTCAAAATAATAACTATATTTGAACAATATAATAATACCCTTTTCTTTTATTCAAGAATAAATATTTTGATAATTAATAATAGATTTCGAAATTCGAATAATATTTATATTGAAAAAAAAAGATAACGAAGAATTACAAATCAATAAAATTATTATACTAATATAAATATTTAAAATAAACACTAAACTAAAAAAAGAATATTATAACAACTTCAGGTTTTGTATCATATAATCATTTATAAAATCATATAATCCTTTAAATCCCTTCGATCTCTTTATCAAAAAGATCAAAGGGATCGAAAAAACAATTAATATAAAAATCTATATAGCCAAAATGGATTTCCTTTATATAAAGCTTCATATTCAAAATCAATCATTTAGTATACTCTATTATTAATTACGAATAATATATCATTACTATTGTTACTTAAATCCCTACTTAATGCTTAATTATAAACTTACTTCGAGAGTTTAGAACACTTTCATATGATCTAGATGGCTACCCTCGTAACAGTCAGCCCCCTACATAAAATTCACTGAGGAGTACACACGGTGCGTGGCAGTCTGAAAGGTTACCGTCACCTACAAAAGTCGAAGCTAATTTGTATTTAATATCTACAACGGTTACAGCTATATAGATTATTCTTGAATGCAATGTCCCGTCCATGATTACGGTCTGCAAGCATTGAAAAAACTCTCCTCATACTTAAACAATTCCCCTTGTGACCTCAGTTTCTTCATGAATCTCCTATAGATGGCCGCCTTTGCAATAGTAAAATGTATTCAAAATACTAACTAAAACACTGTTTCCCGATCGTAAACATCCAATCTGTTTGTATAAAATGACTTCCGCTGTACTTTACCAAACAACCTATCACGCTACAAATTAAAGGCGTCAGAGTACTAGCAATCGTTCTCTTTACAGAAGCAATGAGATGAAGAGTTAGAAAGGAAAGTTGATATGGGCAAAGGGAGATTGAGAGGGAGAATAGCATTAATAAAATGTAGAAAATGGAGAGCTGTGAGATGCATTGAGTGCTGTTCAATCTTAACTCAATCACTGCAGTGACGACAAACAACTCGAGGCAATTGACACCGCTTAGGATGTGGATAAAGCTGCTCCACAAATCGTCGTAGAATCTAGGTAGTTTGGGCTTCATGGTTGGTAAACATGCGGTTGTGTCCACCGCAAGGGCAGTAAACTCACTGGGTAGAAGTCACATTGAAGATTTTAGACTCAGAAACGACCAAAGGTTTTCCATATTTGTTTCGAGCTTTTACGGTTTATCCTCATCCTGGCTAATGCCTTCGCCAAAGTTACCAATTTTAAAGCACTTAAAAGAGCTCTCTGATGAAGGCATATTTTCTAAATATGTTGTTGAAATGAATCCGGGTTATGTTGAGATGAAAAAATATCTTTTCAAGTTGGAGATATTGGGAAGACCATATGGCGGGAATCAATAAATATGAAGCTATTGATATCCGTGTTATGTTATTCGACACGAAGGACGTGGAGACTACATCAATGACAGAGACAGATATGTGGTAACTGCACCAAAAGCTTCAACTAGAAATCCTTGAACTAGGAATCCTTGAATGACACATATGACACATGCAGAATCAAAATCAAATAAACCATGAAGGGAAAATCAAAATCATCCGTTAAGGAAAGTACTTACCGCCGAATAAATGGGTATCTACACTACAAAATAATATGTAAAACTGCCGTCGATCAACCCAACTACATCAAATTTCAAAGTGTCACTTGTCTTCAAAAATTACTGCGCGCCCAAAGTGTGCAGTGCAGCCCTTAACTCCTTTACTGCCGTTTCCGCATCCTCAAAGTTCAATGCCGAAATTGCCCATCTAGCATGTTTTTGTGCTTTGGCAATCGCCTCATCGTCTGTGTTTAATTGTCCGCGAGATTGTGGCGCTGATGGGATAGTTGGTGCTGTGTGTTGGGTAGATCCAGATTGGAAGGTAGGTTGTTGGGCGGTGGGCGGTGCATATGGTGGTGATTGAGGATAAAAGTCTTTAGGTGCGGTAGTTGATGGTTGTTCTCCAGGTAAGGTTGGAGGTGGAAACGATTGAAGATTAGAAGATGGCTTCATTCCGGTGGATTGCCCAGGAGCTCCAAGAGAAGATGTATCTGGGAGTCCAAGATCGAATGCATTATCCGGAGCGGGAGCCGTTGGTAAGGTCGAATCTCGAGGCTCTGATGTAAAAGTTGGAACCTCCGGGAAATAACCCCCACCTACAGATCCATTTCTGTCTTTCGGGGATGGCTCAAGAGGTGATATGTTTTCATCTTGGACTGCAGTGTAGGGAAAACCATCACGCGGGTATGGTTCAAAGGGAGCCGGTTTGGTGGTCGGAGACGCACGAGCAGAGACTTGTTCGGAAGGATGCAAAGAACGATCTAAGGATGATTGTCTTGCTAACCTTGCTTCCAATCCATCTTGCTCATCAGGAACCTCTTCCACAGAAGGTTGCTTTGCTTTCTGTTCCCCAAGATGGTGTACCTCAGGATCGTTTGGATCCAGTATTGGTAGGTCATCCTTGGAACCTGATTGTGGTTTGGGATTAGATGCATTAGGATCCTTTCCTTCTTTTAAGGCCCTTATGATCCGCACAGCATTCCATTTCGCATACTTGATTTTGGCCTGAGTTTCGGCATCCGGTGGTGACCAGATACTCAAAAGATCGAAGAAAGTTGCTGCGGCTTGAAATGTATCTGCAGTTTGTCTAGAGTCTGTGAGCATATTCCTCCATGATAACAGTACTTCGAAGTTCATTACTTGGTAACCTTGTTTGCTTCAACAGCTCGATCTGCCCTCGAGAAGATTTCCATGGTAAATTGTTCGACATATGCCTGACCTGCAGTTTCATCCATGATTGCATCATTATCTGGGTTTTCGGATTTGATCTGCCATGATTTAACAACAGTCTGATGAATTTGCAGACAAAGAATTGTCATACCCTCTCGAGTTTATCCATCAAAGTAGTTGTGTATTGTAACGTTTCCGCATCCCCATTATGTAGGCCTCTCGCGAGGATCTGATTGACAATCCAGAATTCACCTGCGAATGTTAGAATAGAAATTTGCATTATGCGACAAGATTTTTGGTGCGTACACCAATATGATATGACTGGCTTGGCATTTTCGAGTTGTGCTGCCTTGACGATGAATCTTGTCAAGTCTGCTGTCTTTAGCTTCTGGGGGATTTGTGAGGCCATGATTGGATTATTGCTGTTTGGTTGGAAATGGGTATAGATAAGTAAGATGAAGTGAAAGGAGGATGAGGAAGATTATAATGATAGTCTTGTTCGCTGCATGTATGTATGGCGCTGATTATGACGCGCTCTGAGGCGACAGCAAGGTTGACTTACGGGGGAATCTTAATTGATTTGCTGGCTTGTCTTTATCTCTTTCTTTGTTAATGGGTGAATGGATGAATGGATGAGAATGGTGGGATGCCGGAAGAAATATATCAATTCCAGAAGCTGTGGCAAGATTACATACCAGGCCAGCCCACCAGCACCAGCCTTGTGAGTCAAATGTTCCAGCCTCGCCACCAGCACCAGCCTTGTGAGTCAAATGTTCCAGCCTCGCCCCCAGCTCAGTCAAAGCATACGCCGTCAGTAAGCAAATACCGATGTTCCACCTACAAGAAAGCCCAAATAGCCTAATTTACCCCGGATTTCATTCTATTATCTCATTAAATAACCCCCCCGAACTACCACTACCACCTCCACCTTCACCTCATAATACCATCATGCGACTGTGGCCTCTTCAAACCTCTACATAAATATCCAACCCCTTGTACGGCCATTCTCTTTTTTCTCTTTACTGTGCATGTATCGTTAAATTCAATATCTACTACAGCTCCCCAGACGGCTACAGATAGTTAATTACCAACATTCAAAATGGTCAACACGGCACTTCTTTATACTACAGCTGCAGCTTGGTTGTGTGCTTTGCCCGCTGTTCATGCTGGATTGTACCCAAAGAGTTCAGCTGTGTTGTCAATCGATGGAAAGGATTATGATCGTATGATCGCTCAGTCTAACTATACTTCCGTAGGTCTTTCTCGTTCCTTGTTATACAGCACATCAGTCTTTAACATTCTGTCGCACAGATTGTCGAATTCTACGCTCCATGGTGTGGACATTGCAAGAACCTTCAACCTGCATACGAAAAAGCTGCCAAGAACCTTGCCGGCCTCGCAAAAGTAGCAGCAGTCAATTGCGATGAGGAATCAAATAAAGCTTTCTGCGGAGGATTTGGTGTGCAAGGTTTCCCTACTCTCAAGATTGTTAAACCTGGAAGCAAGCCCGGAAAACCCATCGTTGAAGATTACAACGGACCACGAACTGCAAAAGGAATTGTCGATGCAGTTGTGGATAAAATCCCAAATCTTGTCAAGAAAGTTACGGACAAAGATTTGGAGGGTTTCCTGGCTGATGCGAACGACACTTCAAAGGCAATTCTGTTCACTGATAAAGGAAAAACAAGTGCCACGTTGAAAGCCATCGCCATCGATTTCAAGGGTAGTATCAAGGTGGCACAAATCAGAAACACAGAGAAAGCATCTGTTGAGTTATTTGGCATCACTGAGTTTCCTACACTTATTTTGTTACCTGGGGGTAAAGCAGCTGAGGGAATTGTGTATGATGGTGAATTAAAAAAGGATGGCATGGTCAAGTTTCTCACGCAAGCTGCTGAACCCAATCCGGACCCACCAGCAGCAAAAGCAAGGGCTCCAAAATCCAATGCAAACAAAAAGTCTTCATCGAAAGCAAAGAAATCTTTTGAGTCTGCATCAGAATCTCACGCCAAATCTGAGAAGCCTGTGACCCAAACAGACGAAACAATAGAAGACCAACCAACCGAATCACCATCACCGGAGGTCGAAACAGAGAAACCCATTGTTCTTCCACCGGCACCAGCGATTCCTGTTCTTAAGACCGAAGACGATCTCAAGAAGAATTGTCTTGGTCCCAAAACTGGGACATGTATTCTTGCACTCCTTCCAGATACAGCAAACGAGATTACGGATTCGGCTTCTACTTCCTTGGCTGAAGTGTCCCATAAGCATCATCTACACCAACGAAAGTTATTCCCATTCTATATCCTGTACGCTGAAAACTCTGGGTTCTCTCAGATCAAAGATGTTCTAGGACTGAAAAGTGATGTTAACGTCGTTGCCCTTAATGGACGACGGAATTGGTATCGAACTCTGTCTGGCAAGGGGAATTCTCTAGTGGCTGAAGATTTGACAATCGAAGCGATTGAAAACTGGGTCGACGGTATCAGGTTGGGTGAGGGTGAGAAGAAAAAGATTCCAGAAGGTCTCATTCCTGAGGAGGTTGAGGAAACCGTTGTGGAAGAGGCAGCTCCGGAACCGGAACCAAAAGCTGCAGATGAGCCTTTGATAGTCGTTGAGGAGCTTCCGGAAGATTGGGAACCGTCAGCTCCAGAGCCTGAGATTAAGCATGGGGAACTCTAAGCAGTTGTATGAAAAGGAGTTTTTGAAATTTATAGGGGAGATTGGCACGTTAGCTCACGTTTCCTGGGATGATAGTTTCCATCATTTGTTTGAATTTTGCAATTTTACCATAATACCATCCATCATTCATTCTGCAATTAAATGATGCATGCGCCGAGCCTCTATCTGTCTTCCAAGATCTTGAATGTAACATTTCCATTCCTATCAACCAGTCTCCATTGAAACGCCATATAAACACCAGGGTATCATCTGATGATGCTGTCCTTCCCTCACATAATGTGTAAACATCGTCCTATTAAGCCATTGCACCACCCAACATTTTCTTCCCCCTACTCCTAATCACCCCATCTAAAATTTCTCTTACCTGCTTACACCCATCCACTCCCACAGCCAGCATGCCCTCCAATCTACCAGCCTGCACCCTCGTCTCCATGACCAATGCCACAACTCCATCGCCATCGCCTTCTCCCGCCGTCGCAACAGTGAGGAATGGTAGTTCCTGTTCCTCGCCCAAATTCAAATCCAACAATGGGTCTGCTTTTTCGTCATTGCTCGAGTATGAGGATGTAGAGCCGGCTGTACAAGCACAAATATAAGAAGGCATTGGGATACCCGCATCAATTAAAGCAAGAGTTGAGGCATTGATAAGAGCAGAGAGAAGCGACCCATCAAGGGATAAAATATGGAGGGAAAGTAGAATTGTTGAATTGGAAGTCAAGGTAGTGAGGAGGTGAGGAGTAAAAGTCGTGCACAGAGTATTTGAAAGTTCTTGGATACGTCTGCGATGTTTCTGATTAGTTTTCGTTCCTCTGCTACTGTAGTTCCCGAATATGCGGCAAACAAAAAGAAAATGAAAGAAGCTTACTTGTCATTCCTACCATATTTCTTCCTATCTACGCCCGCGAAGCCAGCAAAACTTATCTCCACTCTCACCTCTGCCTTTTCCCCAGCATTACTATTACCCCCACCGCCAATGGATCGTAATTTTGACGGATCGCAAGGACCGGTCACTGTGCAGAGGACTTGGGTATTACCCATTGAGAGATATGACGATCCATCGGATGATGGCTGAGTAGAAATCTGTGCTGTAACACGTCGAAGTTCGTTCCATCTCCGACCGTCAAGACGGAGGAGAGCGAGAGAGTAGGTTGAGGTGTCGAGGGGCATGGTTCTAAGTGTGAAGGTGATGTCAAAGTATATAGAGGAAAAGACGACGGGCGGGGAATATCACTGAGTGAGTTGTGGGATTTGCTGTAAACGATTGTTAAGATAATATTGTGTTGGGAGGGAAAGTTTTCAAAATTAGAGATAGTGAAGTCTTTTCTTGAGAGCTTGTGAAGCTCAAAACTCTGGTGGGTCAAGAAATGACTTTTGTTGATCTACGATTAGATAAGATTAGATGCAAGGTTATTAGTCAGGATGAATTAACCTACCTTAGCAGGCCAACGTCTAGTTATCAAGCAAGATACTAATTAAGATATATAAAATTTTGATATAATAATTGAAAATTCTAAACCAATTCATTATTCAGTTGTGCACAAAAAAGTGCAATCCTGCGGTAAATTCGGAAAGTGTATAACGAGCAACAGTCAGATCTCTTATTACAAACTAAATAATTCTAACAGCTTTTCCAGGTACTAACCACCGGACCTTCTCTTCTACTCCTTCTTCCTTGAAGTCAGCCATCAGGTCCTTGCCAAATTGTGTAAAGTGTCCCCAAGATTCATAGTGCATCGGCACCAGATGGTCCGCCTTTAGCATTCTGAATAGGGATCCCGCTTGCTTGCCGTCCATAGTGATCTGGACAAGCTTTCCATCGCTAATGGGAGTCTCCACGAAGGCCGAACCCAGATTCATCAGAGCCACCACAACGTGGAACTGTTCCGGAATCCGGACAAACTCCTCAATGTAAACCGTGTCACCAGTAAACCAGACCGCGTTTGGACGTCCATCAACATGGTGGCCGAACCGATCAGTCGTCAAGATAAACCCGGTACACTCATTGCCGGGAAAATGTTGGGTTGGCGTGGCGGTGATAGTGTATTTGACGCCACCCAAGTTGACGCTTGTGCTTTCCCAAGGCTTCATTCCCTGGACCGCTGGACGCGGAGCCAGGTTTTTAGCACCATCTACAGTAGTGAAAACGTGACGGCCATTTAGTAGCTGGCGACCATAATCGTCCAAATTATCAGCATGATCTTCATGACTGAGCAAAACAGCATCAATTGGTGGTAGTTCGTCCAGACGAAGGGCGGGGTCGTCTGAGACTTTCAGTGCGAAATCCTCGCTGATGGGGAAACTAGTCCCGGCCGGAGAGAAGAAAGGGTCGGTAAGGAAGTTGACGCCGTCGATTTCGAGCACAGCAGTAGCAGTGCCAATGTGGGTGATGTTGATGGTACTTTGGAAATTCGACATGATGCGAGCGTCCACAGCTGGTGGAAAATTTTACAGACAAGGAGAAATGAAGCGCAGGACTAGGTAAGTTTCCACTAGTACTTTTAGGTAGAAGTTGTCAAGATTGAAAATTATCTAGGGATTCGTGGTGGAACAATCCTCCTTATATATTGGTGGACTAAGCCTCATTACAGGTGATTACAAACTTTACTAATTGTCGCCCGTGGAATGAAGAGGCCAAGATGCTTTAAATCCGCAATTGTGGGTGGAAGGGTCATTCCTTTTTCAGCAGCATAACCCGCCAAGAACATTAGCGCAGATCAACGGGGCTTTTGATGGTTTGTCTTTTTCTGTGGACCTGTGGCCGCTGAGCTTAAAAAGCTACAAATTGTCACAACGGCTAATATATACAATCAGGGGATCTTAGGCTCAATGACTAATCAATGAGGTAAAGCGAAGTAAAGCGGATGACTAGAAGCCTTGGGTTGAAACAAACTTAACCCATTTCAAACTTTGGGAAAGAATTTCTAATAGATATTATATAATTTACGCACGATAAATACTCTGAATAGCAACTTTTTTCGACACCTTGGTTCAGGGATTAACAGTGGTAACCTGACCCTATTTAAGGACTTCGATGGCTTCCTACAGGGATAAGTTGCGATGGCCCTCGATTTCCCGGTGGAACGCGGAAGCTAGGGCTGGGTAGGAGAGACATCACTTTCAGCTAAGCTATTTCTGGGATGTGAAATGTGTTTGTTTCAAGATATATTTTGTGGAAACGATAACTTTGCATCTTTTTTAAGCCAAGCATCCAATTTTGAAAACGTCGAAGAGAGAGCAAACAAACGCGGTCCGCATCAGTCGGGACCGGGCATACCATAGACTAGTGAAGACGCGGATTGCAATCCCCTATCAATTAACTGGTTGACAATACTATTAATGAACTTAAGTTCCTCATCACACTGGTAGCAGGCTGCGGTAAATTGTTGGTAAGCCACGGATAGTGGAAAGAGAGTCGAGGCAGGTCCGAATAGTTTCATGTCATCACTGAAGAAATATTCCATGCTACGGAGGATTAGCCGAGAGAAATGGTTGATCTGCCCCTGGACATAAGCTGCACTCCTAAATTGAGATGTATGCGGCTTGGGCTGGATTGGATGCGAAGAAAATAGTACAATCCTTTCAGTTTCCGCAAGGCAAATGACGCGAATTGCCCAAATATGGATAAGACAATTCGCCATGGTAAAGTTCAGGAAAGTAATAGGGACATGCAGACTTTGGCATGTATTCAATTCGCCGGCATCAGTGCCACATTGCCAGTAATATTGAAAACCACTTTCCAGCCGAAAGTGGTTTTCCCACTCAGTCAGACGCTCTAATGCATCTATGAAAGACTGGAACATTTCTGCCACTTGAATTGCGGAGCTTCCATTCTCGAATAAAGCGTCATTGCACTTTAGTAAAAATGGAATAGTAGAAACATCCGTGAGGAGTGCTTGCATGGCTGATGGGCAAGCTGACGTGAATGGGATCTTATTCCAGGACTCTGACGATAGAAAAGTTGGCTGGCGGTCTCGAAAAGCCTGAAGAATCTGCGGAATGAAGAATCGTCAGAAGGCACTGAGGTTAGAGAGATTGACATACTATAGGAGGCCTAAATCCTTGGAAAAGCGCATGGGATGTCCCAGACTTGAAATAATGGGGTCCGAAGGTTTCAAAGAATACCTTTATAGCAGTAGTATGTGCATATAAAGCCGTCCCAGAGTCGGGAAACATAAGCTTGTGAACGAATCAGTCTGCAGGTCTATGTATAAAAGGAACAAAATCATACTTCAGCGAGAGCAAGACACATGATAGCTGGTACTAGTTCAAAGCACCGACCGTTGGCTGCGAGACGAGTGCGAACCATTTGAAGCACCCCACGATAGTCGCGACCCATCTCGGTGTTCGAGTATTGAATTGTCGACCCTTGAGGATAAACTGAGGCCGCCAAGACCTTTATAACTCGAAAAAGTAACTCGGCATGCTCCGTGCTGGATTGGGCAAAAACAACAGGCAGTTCCTTCACCCACGCCCCGCATATTTGCTCCTTGCCGTGAATGACTTTGACTATTGTCGCTTCAGTGGGCAAATACATGTCTTTTATAGTTTCCGTGAGAGCCTGTATACTTAACTGTAAAGAGAGCAAGCCACGGGGCACAGCAAGATGTGGCCTCGAAACCTGCCTCGGCTGATCCTCCGCCACCTTAATTGAGGGGCCACATAGCGATTTCGAGGCTTCCTCGTTCACATAAGGAATTATATCATATGTCGGCTTTGCATCGTTTGACCGGCCAGGAGAGCGCAAAGACCCAGCATGATGAACGAACTTCCAGTCCTCGTTGTACCCCTTGCATTCTCTCTTAGTAAGAACACATTGGCTACATTGGGGACGCTTCCCATCACACTGGAAATTGTCAGTGGAAGCGGCAGTTGGTTGCATGTCAACAGGACTAGCAAATTGAGCCTACCCCGATCTTGTGGTCTCTACAATTTTGACAAACAGTCCTTTGTTTGGTCTTCATTCTGTGAATAACCAATTGTCAGTGCCACGCGTTGGTAGTTAGTTACAGAAAACAGGTGGATTTAAGAGAGGAAAGATGGTCAGGGAGGATAAGCCACCTTTGGCACTATGACAAAACCAACCTAGGGCTCATGTGGTCTGATAAATTTGCCTTTTCTACGGTTATTCCATACTTATAGTCATATGAGTGATTGCCGTACGGAGTATGAAGTCGACAAACTGGATATGGGATTCTCCCGACTCATTTAAAGTTGGGGATATACGGTTGGAAGAATCAACAAAGTGGATAGTTTTTTTAGTCCAATTTTGACTGGAAGCGAGGAAAAATAGACTCGCATCAAGTTTAGACCCATATCCATATTGTGAAGATTTCATTATTTACGGCACCGGTAATTGACTGCCCGCACTAGTGTTGGTGTTGGAGAAGTGGGAACCAAGATCCTGCCAGGTCGTGCCGAAACTCACGCAAGGACCAGCTCTTGGCGGGTTATGACACCAAGTTCGGCTAGCGGCTATCGACTTGACTCGATCTTTTATGAATGATCACTTGATGTTTGTCACTTTATATGGGCTCCGTTTGCCACAGTTATTACTTGTTCACAGATTTTCAAACCTCTGTCGGCGATACTTCCCAGTCATCAATGGTAGACTTGTTCCTGATCAGTGCAAGGTCGCTAGCATCTTGCAGGACATCATAGAGGATTGCGTGGCTTTCGACGTTCTGCATTAGCAATTATCTACCGCGCTCAATCTTATGCTCTTTAAAAAGCGAGGAAGGCTTATATCATAAGTTACAATGCTTATTCATTCATGCCCGATCGCATCGAATTCGAATCCTCCATGACATTGGCCAGACTGGCTTAATCGAGGCTCGAGAGTGCCCACTGCATCCCTGGAAAGTACTGTCCCCGTTTGCTCGTCAATGAAATATTCTCACTAGAACACCGATACTAGTAAGATTTTCCGAGGAGGGAATGTAAAGGGTAAGTGAAGCTCACCGTACCTTTCCATCGCTTACTAGCATACATACGGAGGACGACCTTCCCTCTTCTCTTTGGCAAAGAGAATGTATCTAGAACGGTGAACTCTATAGAAATTCCCTAACCTGTCGCCACATCATGCGGTCTCTCTGGGCGCTATCAGTAAGAACATTTTTATGGCCGGCAACGGTGTACTCATTTCGAAAGCAAGTTAAATCGTCTACCCGTGGTGCTTTTTGAAGGTATGCAATAACTCGCCAGTATGCGACTCATGGCGCAATGGCTGGTTGGATCTGTTTAAGTAGCTGCTCATCACAATAAAAATACTCCTAAAGCCTTCTGAGTTCTTGCAATGAAGCTACCCTGAAGTAAACCCGCAACTTATTAAGCATCAAGATTGCAGAAGACTTGTTGATGGCGATTATTTACTGGAGGCTCACGGGTTTGTTTGAGCTCGGCTGTGTGAGTTCTCTGACTTGCGCCACACTGGTTCATCAAAATCCAACTCGGTAAGTCGTATCATTAATGCGGTTACTGAACAAGGAAATCCCATTCTGAGAATATTAATTTTCCCAAGGCCTTCGGCAGAGGCGGCGGAGTCAAGATCATACGAGACGAGTCTTCCCACTTTCAGACCGATAACGAGATATGTGGTTTTACCACTCGTCATCCTGTCGGTATTAGTGAAGACGACGTATAGATGAAGTCGTCATGAACATGTCGAAGTAATGCTGATCCAACGATTTGGATGACAGCGCTAGTTTACAGTTGACGTGCGCATAGTTTGCGCAGTGGCAATCGTAAAGTGGATAAGTATGAGATACACGAAGAATAGTAGAAATTACCCTGTACCCAAAGCGGGTACTAGGACTCTATGTAAGTACTGCCAAATCCCTGTAATTCAAAGACGGCCGAAGAAATATCTTGCATTATGTGGTTATAAACCATCATGTATTAGGTCCCACTAAGTACCCCTTAACTAGATTAATTCAACCGCCGATTACATAGCTTATGTATCAGGGACATACGGGTATAGCGGAGCTTCGCAAAAGCTTACCTATAGGCACCTAGTTCGTGGCCTATAGATATGGTAGTGCTATATAATAACCTCGTTGACCCCCTTCGTTGGATTTGTAGGAAATGATCAAGCCAAGTACTCCGCATTGATTCTTATTCTATTTGATTCCTCTGACTTTCTCTCCAAATTATTGTCTTGATATCTTTTCTGAATCCTTGAAACACTGGTCATGCAGGCTTCCTCTAAATACCCAAGCGATGTTGAGCACCAGTCTGTTCCAAAAAATGGCAATCCAAGGCTCGTTATCGACAGCGATGAGATAGACAGTAGCTTGGAAGACCACTCGGCTTACGAGGTCTTTTGGTCAAAGGATGATCCTGAGAATCCCAAAAATTGGTCTGCGTTGCACAAATGCGTAACCATTTTCGCCATGGGTTATAGTGCCACAGTTGTTAGCCTATTCAGCACATCATATACGGTTGGCATCATAGGACTGCAAGAGGAATTCCATATCTCCAAACTATTGGGCTTTCTCGGCGTCACTACCTACCTCTTTGGCATGGCAGTAGGAAGCATTGTTCTTGCTCCGCTGAGTGAGATGTACGGGCGCCGGCCGATATATATTGTTTCTGTCGGTTTGTTCACCATTTTCGTGTTGCCCTCTGCATTGGCAAAGAACATTGAGACAATCCTGATCACACGTTTCTTTACCGCTTTCTTCGGCAGTGCTATGATGGCAAACTCTGCTGGCACGGTGACTGATATTATCTCTGAGCGACACCGAGCATTGGCTTTCGGCTTTTGGTCTCTTGGTCCTACGAATGGACCCGTTATCGGACCGATTATTGGAGGTTTCATTTTCGAGAGTCTCGGTTGGAGATGGCTTAATTGGTTCATCATGATTCTGGGTGGCGTTGCATTTTTACTGGTCTCAGTTATCGAGGAGACCTATGCTCCAGTTATTCTACGCAAACGGATGATTAGGAAGAGAAAGGAGACGGGAAATGTCAAGTGGTGGAGTCGTTATGATAGTCAAGTGGAATTCACAAGCCATTTCTGGACCAATATAACTAGGCCGTTGACTATGATGGTAATGGAGCCTATCTGGTGCGAACCCCCTTCTTCCACGATTTTTATTGCCTTTCCAAACTTGCAGCTAATCAATATTACTACACAGTGTGTTTTGGAATTTTTATACCGCATTAGTCTATGGTGTCCTATACCTCTGCTTTGTTGCCTACCCACTTGCCTACCAGAAGTACCGTGGCTGGTCTCCTGGTATTGGAGGTCTTGCTTATCTTGGCATAGGGTTTGGATCTATTATTACCATTGCATTGGAGCCGATTCTGCGAAAGATCATTTCTTCTCACAAGAAGGACGACACTGGAAATGTGCCCCCTGAAGCAATGGTAAGCGTCATCTGTTTATCGGCTGTTCTGCTAGCGGTAGGGCAAATTTGGTTTGCTTGGACGTCCACTCCAAATGTGCATTGGATCGTACCAATTCTGGCTGGTGTTCCATTTGGGGCTGGAAATGCGGGTGTCTTCATATACATGAGCAGCTACATTGTACATTCCTATAATAATTATGCGGCATCGGCTTTGGCAGGGAATGTAGTACTGCGCAGCATCTTTGGAGCTATTCTACCTCTCGCTGGGCCTTCTATGTATGCTAGTTTGGGGTTGAATTGGGCAGGGTTTCTCCTCGGCATGTTTGAAGTGGTCTGTATTGCTATTCCGGTTGTGTTTTACCTCTATGGACATCACATCCGTGAACGTAGTATTATGATCCGACGAATGCAGATTGAAAAATCAATATAATATCATTAGAATAATGGAATTTATTTAATACTAGCTTGGAGAAATTTTTGAAATATTGATCCTTGCTGTATGCGAGGTTTACTCGATAGGTAATAGAAGATGAGAAACTTGTCTAAGTGAAGCTTGATCTTAACAGAAAGGATATTAATCATTTACAATTATAATTTTTATATAATAACAATGAATAATTGATTATAATTTTATATTAACAAAGAATATAGAAACTACAAAAAGAGTATCTTCTTTTTATTTTTATCTTTAATATAAAAGATATAATATAAATCTATTAATAATACATTCATTGATTATTTCTTCCAATTCTGAAATAGTTATATCAAGATTCTCGATAAATTTATATCTTTACAAACTTTATATATAATTCAGAAAGCTAATTGGTTTCTTTGAAGTATAGAACATTGTAAGGATTAAACTTTAAAATGAAGCTAAGAATAATATCAGTAGATGTATACAGGATTTGTAGAATATTATTATGATCGATAAGTATTCAGATCAATATCTGGGACACATCTGTATATACTCCGAAAATCTTCATTGGTCCTCAATCCCCGATTAGTACTATCCTCCGTACTATAAAATGCATTCCTTCCTTTGCATTTGGATTGATTTGGTGAGGTCTCTTATTCTCCTAAAACACCCAATTACAGAAGAAGGCATACTTGGGTATGAAGCTGTACGAATCCTTCAATGACTTTCTAGATACTATATACCCCGCTTTGATAATATTAACTGCAGATTTTCTGCAGTTTCCGCTGTTTTCATCATCATACATAATCAATAAAGTATACAATTACTTGCCCAAGTCTTCACAATGGATATCATCCAATATCTCAGATCCCACAACATATCCTTCATATTGATTCTTGTTTTGTTATACATATAGAAACTTTCAACTCGTTGATTTTAAATGATACACTATCACAACTCAAACCAATATCTGCAGACTAATTATATTCGATCAACGAGAGTATGTTAATTAAAATGTGTCATATGTGAATTCTATATTATATTAAGCTGTGGAATACACCTCAATTTCCTTATTCTAAAAGCTCAAAATTTCGAAATTCTTCTATCCGTATTCACAATCTTGAATCACTCTGATAATACCAAAACCTTACATTTTTACCTGGTTCACCTCTATTTACTCAGAACATTATGTATCAAAAAATCCAAAATACACGATTGTGCGGGCATCCTCTTAATCTAGCATATTATTTGCCCCCTGACCCTCTCCAATGCCAGGAAGCTCGTTATGCAGCAGTTTATATCAACGGCACTTTACAACGATGTTCAGACACGAATTTGACAACTAGTATAATTTACGACCGTAGCTTTGCAGGAATCTACCATATATCGAAGAAGGGTATTCAACCAGTGTGGATGAAAATGCCACAAATACCGAATCAATAATTCTTCTGAGGGGGTTATCATATATGCTAGCGGTCACGAGCATTGCAGATGATATAAGATCTCGGATTGATCAAATTATGTAAGTTCAAGCTGTTTACTATAATTCACAGCGAATATTAACTTACTAAAGCTTCAATAGCTTATAGTTCGTTGATAGAAGGTGGTGTGATGAAAGCTGGAGCGAGGTTATGGGGTGGGAATTTGTATTTCGGAAGACCCTTTTCTTGATCTTGATGATGAAAAGTTTTAAGGAACAATAATTTTTTCAATTGCTTCAATCGAAAGTGTTTATCGTAGTAATATGATTTGGGAAGTTTCTTTTTGAGCAAGGGAATACTTTGCGGATTTCCTTTTTGTTCTGATAACAACATTACTTAAGTTTTAATGAACAATACGATCAATAGATTTCTTGCTCCATTTAGCCAACCACTCTTTGATTCTTTTGACCCCTTGTAAATCACCCTCTTGACTGTTTTTATTAGCCTCATCAACCCAACCAAGAGTATATCCCCCCTCCAAATCAATAAGCCAAAGCTTGTCATCTCGATCGACCAAGACATTGTGTGGTTTAGCATCACCCCATACCAAGCCTGCGGCATGCAGTTCCCCAACAAGATCCTCAAGCTCAATAGCCCAACGATGCCGGTGTTCATCCAAACAATCAGACCAAGGTACTATTTGTTCGAGTGTGCCTTTACTATCAATGTAATGAAGTAATATACCCACTACACGCCGTATATCGAAGTTTGGATCGGCATATTCTTCGGGCGTCCAATCATCTGAGATATCGCCCCTCCATTCATCAACTAGATCCTTTTCTGTAGCAGAATACCAATGTTGTAAGACTTCACGATCATCATCAACAACCACACTATGCAAGCGACAGATGCGTATATCGGAGCGAAGCTTCTTCGCTTCGATGGCAGCTGGAATCTGTATATGTATCCATGATTTTGCTTCTGCTACTGCTGACAAAGAAGGCAACTCCTTATAATAGCATAATGCGCCATCCTCAGCAATAACTTTGCCTGGACCTCGAAGACACGGATGCTGTTCCAGATCGGGTGAGGGTACAAGCTGAATTTGCTGTGAAGTCGAGGATTTCACTAGATTTAACCAATCTAATGGAGGAGATATATATTCGCCTGCAGGGAATCTTATCTGTCGTGGCAGTTGCCCTTTGAAATGTGGTTGAATGATAGTGCTATCCTGAGCTGCTGCTTTTGCTTCGAGTATTAGAAATGGTGGATAGAGATAATCGGATAATTGATTGCACGAAGGTGGTGGGTTTGGAGCTAGTTCGATTATAAGCTCTTCGAATGGTTTCTTAAGACGAAGAATCTCCTCAAAAGCTTTGTCGCCATCTCGATTATCCCCAACCTCACATGCTCGCATAATAGCAAGAGAACTTTGATATTGTTCCAAAAGATTTGGCGAAAGAGATAAATTCTGTAGTGTGTATTGAATTTCGAATTTAGCACCAAAACAACGTATCTGGAACTTGATAAGTTCATCATCATGTTCCCCGATGCCAGACCATTGAAAGCTTTCGAGAAAGAATATCTGCATCATAATTAATTGTGTATAATAGAAAGTTGATATAAGAAAAATTTGTTTATAGAACTTAATATACAAGGGAAACAATCTACACCGCTAAAAGGAAGTAAGCAGAAGCAGGTTCTGAGGAAGCACAAGTTTTCCATATTGGTACTACCACATGCGACAGAAATATGTCCTTATTCTGAAAAGAAAGGAATTGATTCGATAAAACGAAGAGTGAAGGATATCTATTTAACCCCACTTTAGGCTAATCTACGGAAAGAACTATCTATAGGTTTCCGTGCCGCTAGTTATTTTTATATCGTGTATGGGGTTGCGGGGGTGGATTTTCGTTCAGAAAAATATATGGGGTGGTAGTGTAATCGGAGTAATTTTATCAAGTCATATATACACTAGTATAGTTTAGATCTAGTGCAGAACTGGGTATTTCTACTCTGTCTGTTCTTCAATCTACACTTCTATTGTTTAAAACGCATCGCTTTTCTGATAGCAGTATAATATTTCAGTTGAATAATCATAGATCGAAAGGGGGTAAGTGTAATGATCTGGTCGAGGCAGCAGCTGCCTGAGGTTTCGTATGGTTGGTAATTGTAGATTAAGGTTATTAATTATTAATTATTCACTTGAAAATGAATTCGTTATTAGATCAATTGGAATATAAATAAACTAATTAATAATTAAATTGAATACAAAGTTTTTAAATTATAAAACTATTCTGATTATATATTAATAAATGAAAAGGAGTTTTATAAAGTTCAAAAACTTTAAAAAGCTTTTAAAGTTTTAAAAGCTCTTCAAACTTTTAGGACTTTTTATTATATGATTAATTCTAAAACCTTTTCTTTTTTAGAATATTTATCTTAAAAGCTTTTCTTTAAGAATTATAATTTTAGAATATAATATCCTTTAAAATGATTATTTTAATTATAATCAATTGATTAGAATATTATAAGAAAGTGTAACGATCTAATCGAAGCAGCGGCTGCCTGAGGTTTCGTATGATTGGTAGTTATAGATTAAGGTTAATAATCATTAGTTATTTATTTGAAAATGAATTCGTTATTAGATTAATTGGAATATAAATAAACTAATTGATAATTAAGTTGAATATAAAGCTTTTAAATTATAAAACTATTTTGATTATATATTAATGAATATAAAGAAGCTTTGTAAAGTTTTAGAATTCCAAAAAGTTTTTAAAGTTTTAAGAGTTTTCAAAGTTTCTAAGACTTTTTATTATATAATTAGAATCAGATTATATATTTGAATTTATTGAAAATGAGAAGATTATATAAAACAATTATTATATAAATTTATATATAATCTGTTTTGTTTTTCAAAAAGATTTAAGTTTATATAAACAAATTGATTGTTGTTTTTCAATATATTATAATCTTAATTGTAAATTGTAATATTATTCTTTTTTTAATTAAATGTTGTTTTAATCGTTTATAATTTTTTGAGTTCCATTTGATAATTAATATTTTTTTCTTTTTTATATTTTATTTATTTTTCTTTTTTTGTTATAAACAATTCTAATTTTTTTAATAATTTAATTCGAAAAAAGAAAAAGGAATATATATATTTAATTACGATTATTGATTTTATTGATATTGAAATAATTTCTTATTTTTATTATCGATAAAAGAATTGTTATTGTATTAAAAATCTTTTCGATAAATATTATTTGTATTATTTGAAATGTAAGAGTTCTGGTCATTACTCACCGCACCCTTTTTAAATTTCATTTACACTTTTGAAAATTTAATATTAAATCAATATTACAATATTTTTTATTGAAAATCTGATAATATATTAATGAATAATAGTTAATCCTTTTATTTCAATTATATTCTTTAATTTATAAATCAATTTTTCAATATATAACCTGAAATTTAAGGGATCAAATATCTTTCATAATCTTTTGAACTCTTTTTTTAATTCTTTAATAGAAATAAATATAAATAATAGTTTTTTAGTTTCTTTTTTATCCAATACTATATCTTTTCAATTGGATTGAAATCTGAAGAAAAGAAAAATCATTGAAAATCTTTAATATTATACTTTAATCAAACTAATCTAATATATTTTAAATAAACCTTTACATTATCCTTTATAAATATATATTCAAATCTTAATTCATCAAATAAAAGAAATATAATAGGAATAAAAATCTGATTCTGATATATTATTGAATTTACTCTTTTATTATCAAAATTTTTCTTCAAAAAGATTAATAAAGATTTATAATTCTAATCAAAAACCCTTTATATTATTACAAAGATCTTTTCTAATCTATATATTGATTTGATACAATTCCTATATCTCTTTTCTTCAATCCTACAAATTATCTATATCTTATTACATTTTCCAACCTCGAAAATGCTTTTGTTCGATTATATAACCTTCTTTTAATCATTCTTTTTAAACTTTTCAAAAATTATATCGATTGTCTTTTACCAATGATATATATATACAAAATCTAATCTCTTTTTTGTTTGTTTTCTAAAAATAAATAATCTAAAACAAGTTACACAATATTTATAATTATATTGATATAATTCATATCGAATAATATACATCAAAACCTTAATCCTTAATATATATTTTATATATTCAAAAATCATTTTTCTTCTTCTTCAATCTTTTATCAATTCCTTTATAATTTGTCAAATCTTTTTAATTATTATTATAAAGAATCAATATATCTTTTTTTTACAAATAATTCTAAATGAATTCGATTTAATAATATCTTTTGTAGTACTTCAAGATACATTCAAATTTTATTCGATTCAAAATTATGATTTTTTATCCCTTCTAATTTGAAAGATTCTAGTTTTATAAAGGATACCTCAATTTTGATGAAATTCATAATTATCATTCTCATCTTGAATTTTGACAATCATTTTGAATTTGAATAGAAAATATTGAAAATTTGAATTTTGATAAATTATTTATAATTGAGGGTTGAAAATAAGATTATAATTATTTCTCGATAAAGTATACGATTACAAGTTTCCAGAACTTTTATATGAAATTTTATTTTTTATAATATTAAATGTCGTTTGAAAAATAATTAGGATTATAAAATTCTTTGAGAATACAATTAGAAAAATCTTAATTGATAGATTAATAAATTGAATATTGGAATTGTTGAATCTTTTATTAAAATTATTTATTTTATTAAATAGAAAGTATAATTCAAAAAACGATATAATGAAATATTAATTAATAATTGATCAAATTAATCAGAAAACAATAAAAGGATTATAAAAATTTCTTTATTTTTTTTATTTTGTTTTTTTTTTCAATAATATCAAATTCATCAAAATATTTGAATCTATAATATAATTTTATTAATCTTAACAAAATTCTTATAAATGAATTCAATTTTTTTAATCTTTTTTTATAAGAAACAATGAATTTTTCTTTCTTTTAGATAAATCTGGATTCTATTAACAAAACTTTTAAAACTTTTTCAAATATTTAATTTTTTTCTTAAGTTTTTATATATTTTTAGAATCAAGATAATCTTTTTATTTTATTAAATATTTGATTTTATTTTTAATATATTTGTAATCTAATATCTTCTTTATTTTATATTCGATATTTTGATTTATAAATATGATTTCTGTTTCAAAAACTTTTGATATTTTTAAAAATACTAATTCGAATAAGAATATATAGAATATTAAATATATATTTATATTTTTCGATAATATCAATTTATAATTTAAAAATCTTTTAATTTTTTTGATTTTAAATAATCCAAATTTTTTATAATTTAATTTCGTATTAAATCTTTTTGTTTTGATATTTTTTCGAAGTAAATAGATTTTATTTCTTTTTTTTAATATTAGTTTTTGATTATATTTTTGATTATAATAATATATATTTCTTTCAATAATAAACTTTAATTTTGTTGTTATTTCTTTATAAACTTTCTTGAATCTTTTTATTTATATTATTACAAATTGATTTTTTATTTTTATAATTCTTGATTTATGATATATAATTAATTTGTATTTATAATTAGTATAATTCGAAATGATTTGTATTGTTTCTAAAATTAAATTGTTATATACAAATTATATTAAGAATAAAAGTTCTATTTAATTGTTTTATTAATAATTTATATAATATTAAAATAAATTTTGATAATTTGATTTATTTTTTTATTCTTTTTATTGATTTATAAATAAAATATAATAGATATTTTCCTTTTTATTTTTAATAATATTACTAAAACAATTCAAAATTTTGATATAAAAAGTTTATTTTTATTAAAAAGTATTTCTTTTAATAATCTATATATTATAATAATCTTTTTTAAAAATATAAAGATTAATATTTCTATAATTAGTATTGTTTGATATAATACAAATATTAAATATTTTATTAATTTATTTATTATAATAAAAAAGTAATTATATATTACTCTTATTATTGAATTTTTGGATTTTGATAATAATTTTATAAAATCCTATAATATTGATTTCTATAATATAAATAGTATTTCAATAATATTTATTTATATTTAAAAAGTATAATAAGAAACTTTATTTTTAATACAAATATTACATTTGATGATTATTTTATTGATTATATTTCAGAGTTTTAAATTTCAATATTATCTTTTAATTCTTAAATATGTTTTTTGTATTTCTTGATATTTATAAATTAATAATATATATTGTTTTATAATATATTCAAAAACAATATTATTTGATAATTATATTTTGTTCTTTATTTGAAACAATTCATCAATAGTTATTAATGATTCTGATTATTTAATACTTTCTTTATTTTGTTATATTTTTACAAATTTATCTTTTTAGATCTTTATTGATTTATTTTCTATAATAACGATTTATATTAAATTAAAAATAAAATCTTTATTTAATAAAATTTTCAAGATTATTATTTTTTAATAGATTTTATTGTTTTTATAATTTGATAATCTATTTAAAGTATCTATTTTTGTATTATCTTTTTCTTTGATATATTTGATTATCAAATTAAATCTTATTAGTTTCTTAGCTTATTTAATTAATTTATAATTATTCAAGATTTTAATAATAATGAAAATTTGAAGATTCATATAATCAATATAAATAATTATTAGGAATTTAATATTTTGAAAATAGATTTTTTAAT